TAAGCAATTGCCCTTTAGCCTATGCTACCAGTTGAGAGTGATCTTCAATGGTTCTCGATTTTCGAAATAATTTCCGACTTCACTTTTTTTGCATTTCATAATTTTATGGTTTTGCTTTTGTCACACACATGCTGTGTGTGAAATAGAAGGGAAGCAATTGGTCAAGCAAGCATTATTGAAAATGCATATTGAAGGTTTCCGAATGTGGACAAGTGCAAGAGAATTCAGCACTTGCACCACCTCCCCAAGAAATTCGATCTCACTTTGTGGCACAACAGCAACAGCAACAAGCAACTCGAACCCAAGAACCACAACAACATTTCGTTGCTCAGGTTAATTGAAAAATTCGTTTCGAATTGAAGTGTATGATTCGATTAATTTATTGTAATGAATTCAGATTCAAGCTACATGTGTTAATGCTGAACTAACGGCAGCAGATCAGCTTCAACGTCAGCAAAAACAAGTGAATACTTGTGCAGTAAATAGCACTCGTCGACCACCTCAGAAAGGAACTGTCTTGGTATCGGCTACCGTTGGTGCGGTTAGTCAACCGTCGAATACAATCGTCACTCAACGTCATGGCTCATCGGTGCTCATCACACATCAAAAACCGGTCACTAGCGCTCATTTTGTTCATCCCCATTCAGGTTTATTTTTCATCTATTTTGGTCATATCCATATACCTTTTGTTTCTTTCTGGAAAAGATTCGATTAATTAATTGATGATCTTCCTCACTGAATAGTATTAACTGATATATAGATTATGGCAGTTTAATTCATAATTTGAATTTGAATCTCGTTTTCTAAAATCATAATTGAAAATATATGTTTGTAGGGAATGTTTGTAATCAGTCAGTAGGCAGTAGTGGTAATTCAACATCGATCCGTCAACGCATCAGTCGACTACCCCCTCATGTTCTACGACAGAAACAAGAGGAACAAATGTATTTACGCAAAATGTACTTCTTGAAGCGAACAATCAAAGCTCTCGTTTTTGTACGTCTATCAGATATTTTCATTTCATTCCATTGGTTTTGCACTAAATTTTTATAATGTTCAACTTGCGCCTGTCTTTCATTCGTTTTTTTTTTGCAATTTTCAGTCTTCCTTGAATGACTCTTAATTATTCATTTAAGCGTTTGAGATGCATTATCACGATCTAGTAAATTAGAAACTTTGAGTGACGGTTGAATAAGAATTTATCTTCTAACTGTTGTTTGTTGTTTGAGTTTATTCCTGTTCGCGAATTGTTGAGTTTCACGCTTTTCTCATCTTTGATGAGCAAAACAATCGCAATGCGTTATTTCAAACTCATTTCGACAGTATTACACTGGCCATTTAAAAGTGTCAGCGTCTATTTTCAGAAGAACGGAGCATTGTGTGATGAGGTTGCAAGACTCAATCAGCGTATACAAACGGTTACGGATGAACGAAAGCAAGTCTTTGAATGTTGTTCTTTGTGTTTAGTATGGATAATTTGATAACTTTTTTATTAAAGCAGTGAAAATTAGAGTGTGTAAACCTTAGAAACCTGGTGAACAGAGTTGTTTTTTTGAGTGAAAATGCTAATCTGTTTTTACGGATTCCATGAATGAGTAATATTCATTTTCATAACGTTTTCATGTCACTACATATCCTCAAATTGCAGAATGCTCGCAAAACGCTTACAACACTATGAACGGAATCGAATACGGAGATTACAAACAAAAATGAAGAAGGTGAATCGTCCTGAACTCGAAATCAATATTTTTAACATCATTTTTGGTGCATCTTAAAACGAGTGACTGTATAAATAATTAATCTAATTCATTACATTTTACTCAGTTGTTGTTTCACTAATGAATCTGAAATTTTTTAAGTAGTTTTCCTTTTGTGTTGTCAATTTAATTATAACATTTCAACGGTAAAAGTCAAAAAGACAAGAATATTACTTGTTGAAGTGAATTATATTAGTGAGTGGTGAATTTGTTGTGTGCGATGAGCATTTTTTGAAGAATTTGTCACAGGCAGCAGCATTAGCGGCGAAGTTGAGTGCGTTCCAAAGCACACCCATCTCTGTGAACGTTGAGTTAGAATCTGAGTCGTTAGAGGCTCGCCCAGATACCAATGATCTGGATGATAACGAGAACGATTCCGAGAAGAGTGCACCATCTTCTAGTTGCTCACCATCTCCGATCACCAGTAATTCGGTAAATATTTCTCATCATTGTTTCTCTCAGTTTTAGTTATTACTGATTATTATGCCACATCGGTGAACGTTTCTTCCATTTTCGTCTACCCTTGATCAACGTCGAGTATAACTGCTCATAATTTGGGTTTGGTCAGTCAGCGTGGTTGCATCAAGTGATGTAGTGATATGTGTGCTTCGTGATATATGGTATAATTCAGCGTTGCCAAATGTCACACGTAAAAATAGAACGCTATTTTCTCCTCCATCATCTTAATTCTTGTCTTTCTCACGACTGCTCTTTGCCAGGCGTCCCGTGTAGCCACTCCGGAGTCAATACGGCAGTCGGAAAGCGGTATGATGCTAACAACTCCAGCAACTCAGAATGTCAGTCGAAGGAACCGATGGAAAAATCGAAGAATGGATCGCGCATCGTCGACGAGAACTTGTTCTACTCGTAAAGGTAAACGAAGTACACCCAGCTGATGTCTAATATCTGTTCAAACAAAAGTGAGCATAAGGTTCCTCATTCGTTCATTATTCATTCAGTGCACGTTCATCGCGTTTTTTTCCATTCTGTTTCACCTCATATGCTTTTCCTTCTACTGTTGATATGATGTTTGGTTGTTACACGAGTCTTATCGCTAAATTTTTATATACGCAATGTGAAAATCCTTCATTTTTGAATACAATAGCATAATCTATTATGTATTATTTTAATTTGATCAATTAACCATTTAACCAATACTGTTACAGTGTTATGGACACGAGTTTATTTGGTATGCAGTGGTGACGTTATTCAATATTCCGTCGGTAATCAGCTATCGAATACTCCTAATAAGCGACAGTCAATAAAGTTGAGTTGGATGTATCCAATGGAAAATGAACATTAATTGAATGATTGTTATCTGAATGGCATTGATACATATCAGTCAGGGAAGTAGAACTGAAACGCATTCACTTATTCATTTTTCAAGCACTCTGCAATGGCGATTTATTGACACTTTCTGAAGGTAACACTAGAGCAGCATTGTTTGAGCCGTTCGATTTGTTTGTTGTTTAGCATACAACGGTTATTTGGATCTCATTCAACATATAATGTATATATAATATTGTTTATGTCTTATTTCTTGTTCTTTATGTGGTTTACGTAAATGTTACACTGCAAGAATTGTTATGAAAGGAACATAAATTAAGCTATGCTGTTAACACTTCGAATGGTAAATTGAAGTTGACACCCACTCACAAAATATCGAATTTGCGAGAAGCATTACAATACTTCCTTTATCGAAGCATGTGCATAGAGAGTTTTCAGGATGATTTTTTTCTCTTCTTGTAAAAGTCATTTCATTTCACTTTTTAAAATTTAGTTTGAATTACTCTTTCAGAATTTGTTGTGGCCATATCCTCTTGTATCAGTTATCAATAACGTGCTTGATTTTTATTCTCTAAATTCTGGATCCTTTATATCATCCCATAAATATTACACTTTATACGTTTTAACGGTTCATTAGATCATCGTTTCAAATCATTTACATTCTTCGTTTAGCAACCTGATAAGCTCTTGACAGTTTACATATCGATGCGCTCTTTAAAATGCCCAAAACGAGTTTTCAGTGTTTCAGCCGACTTGTTTAGCGTTATCTGAATTGTTATTGACCACTCATCTTTGGTATTTCATGTTTTGAATTGAAGCCATGGATGCAGCACTAAAATGAGAATACAAGAATCGAATTAAGTGATTCACCAGTGCTGTTACTCTTCTTGTGATTTGCGATTCACCACGAAACATATCCTCTTCTTACATTTTTAAAGCGTGTCTCAACGCGTTTCACCCATTTCAACTATTTAAGTCATCGTATGTATTCCTCACTTGACTGAAGTGTACACGACCTTAAGCTCATAGATTCTATCAATAATGTGGCTTTGCCACCTAAACTTTACTGCTGTTCATCTTCACTTTCTGTCGTGGTAAACATAACATTCAAAAAAATTGACGGAACAACAACAATAGAGCTGTTTGAAAGGTTGTCTGATAGAAAGTTTGATGGTGATAATACTCACGAAAGGTATGAGAAATGAGCGTTTGTTCATATTCCTGTTCTCACTGTTTACTTAGTGGAATTGAACACCAAAGTGAATGATATCTTTGTAAGGTCCAAACCGTTCACTACAAAAGAATTCTTACTAGAATGGAAACGTTTCGTATAAAATCATTCCACTGTTCAGTGAGCTGATAAAGAGAGAAATAAAAAGTGCTTGATATACACACTATCGTTGAACGTCTTAACTAACAAGTACATGTCTGCTGTTCCAAAATTTATTCTCTTTGTCATGCTTGTAGACGAAGGAGTTGTTATAAGAAGCATCCTTCTTTCTAAAATTGAAATGATAAAATATGTACGCAGTAGTGAACAACTGATGAAGAATAAATTCAACAATGCTATGTGCATAAGTTTGTTTGTATGTGTTTCTTCGCGCTTTTGTGTTGCATAATTTTTTGTAGAGTGAACGAGTGAAACGATATCATTTTGAATAACTGTTCACGTTATAATAAATATAAATGAATTTATATAGTTTTATTATAATATACCCATATAATTGAAGTAGAATCAAATGATATTCGATGAGCTAATCCGTAGTGGACTCTACGGATGGATCTGCCAACGACATTAAGTATTGCTCAACAGCATTATCATCTGGCTCTTCGGGAATCACCCATTCATGATTGCCGTCAATTTCGAGTGGTTCACGACATAATGGGCACTCGTTTTTGCCATACTCTTTCCACTGTTCGATGCAAACAAAACAGTACGAATGAGTACAAGGAAGAATGGTATCTGTTTTTCGTTCCATACAAATAATGCATTCGTTTTCAGCACCAAAACTGAAAAAAAAACTTTTCTCTTTCTCGAATGTAACATTCAAGATAGGAAGTGCTCTATCTAAAATTCTTCATTAAAATGAAAATTGTTGATTTCAAATATAAATTTAAACACTCATTCATATGTATGATGATTGGCGCAACGATCCACAGGGTTAGTTTTCCATAAGGGGGGGGGGGGGGGGAGGTGTATCCTTTTGGCTGAATATTTCAGAATGCCAGTGGGGGAACTACAGTAACGGCAAATTAACGTTATTTGATTTTTCAAAACATTTTTTCTATAACCTTTCAATACTGTTTCCGAAATGCTTATTCGACCACAATGAATTGATTCGTTTGATACCACCGACGAATTCTTGACAGTAAATTTCTTGATCACTGAATCAACCTTTTGATATCTTCCTGGTATTCACAAAAAATAGATTGTTGGAGAGAAGTGAGAAATGACGGTCTTTCCTACGGCCAAAGGAGTGCTGGGAGCGTAAAATATATGAATGACTGATCTAGGAGGTTGCCTATTGGTACTCTTTATTTCTATAATGATGGAAGGCAAACTTGTCCAAATACTGCGAAGTACAAATTTGTTGCGAGATGTCAACTGCAGTTGAACAACTTTCTTCTGAAGAGTTACTGTCGAGTAAAATGAATAAGGATTTTTGTAACGACAAAAACTGAGCCAGTGTTAACACTCGACGTGATTCTGTTACACCATTAATGTTTCTCTGAAACGCCTTATCGTTATCGAAATCGACATTCATTCGATTGTCTTACTGATCAGCCGGTGACCATTCATTTCGGATCGAACACAGGCAAATGATAAGTTTTCAGTATGGTTATTTCAACAAAACTGATATCCCACTTTGTAGTGATATTTGTTTGAGAAAAATAAATTTTCCTGAGTATGTACAATTGCTGTGGGGAAAAGGCACCACTACCAAAAGCTGATGTTCACTCAGACTTAAGTTTAAACAGTTGGTTGAAGCTCATCTAGGCGACAACTAAAGTTTTGACTGTGGTTTACCTCATTTTCTGATTGGTAGTGACATTTGGATAAACGGAACAAAATGGAAGATAACCCGTAATGCACAAATCCTTATCGTTGCCTTCCATAAGTATGAATCGGCGCTTCCTCTTTTGATAGCAAACAACAGATAACGTCCATTTGAATCCGTCAGTTGTCGACATCTTCAAACGTTAACAAATATATGCATTCACTATCTTCCATGTCTCTTTCAAGAGAGAACAGGGTCGAACATGAAGAGATGAGACACGGTTATTACACTAATTCGGAAAACTAAGCCTGTATATTTTTTTGCAGTGGAGAAATGGCGATACTCAATGTATATCTAACGAAAACTAATGAAAAAAAGCTAATTGTAAGGCAAGCTAATGAACGATGAATGAAATGGTTTTAAAAAAATAATGGACAGACCGTGTATTTAGACCACATACCATCTCGACAAATTCAGACCATGTTATTGACATAACACGCACCATTTGTAAAGAATGACCGCGAACCATACTAGTTGCTTGACCCATTAAAACAACTTGGAAGAGCCACGACAGCAACAATACCTATGAACGTTTAATCGCATTCGAAACAGACGTAGTGATGACTGAATAATGATCATTATGGCATGTGAATCATATGTTTGTGAGCGGGGTGGTGTGTTATTGACATTACTTGTTAGATAACAAACACATTCTGTTAGGCAATTGAGAGTGAAAATGAGAGATTGAAACAAGAATCAATGAACAGAGAGAAACTGATAGCAGAGAAGAAAAGGACTATTAACGTGCATTTTTATTTTAGGATGCAGCTCTAGACAGGAATTTTTCAGATTTTGTAAAACCGAGCGTAAGTTATTCCAAGTAAAGCTTCAGGAAATCATGAATAGGTTCTACAGATAATCAGGTATATGTCAGAGGTAAGCCTCATTGAAAGTTCGACTTCATCCCCAATCCGATCTTCGAGAATCATGATTTTGAGTTCCGAAAACAAAATCCGCAATCTGGACAATTTCTGAAATCAAAATTGAACTTCGGAATAACCGGAAATACTTCAAAATTATGTCAGGTAAGTGCAGGATTAGCTCCAAATTTGTTACCTAATGAAACAGCGTTCAGTATTCTTTGAACATTTGCATTGAACACTACAAAACTGCTCCGTTCATATATTAAGCAACAGAAATGCAATGCAGAAAAGTGAGCCGCATAACGCTTATCGTCAGAAATTGAGATATTTATCTGAAGTTAGAATCGATCGCCAGAAAATACGTACGCTTTTCTCAAAATAGAAAATGTCGAAAATCTGCAACTGTGAAGAAATTGGTCTGCTTCCGGGTGAACCTAAATATAAGCTAGTTGGAAAGTGTTGTCCCAATATGATATGAATAATGCACAAAGTCGTCAATATTACCTGTAGAGAACAAAATCCCCCGACGACATATATACTTTTCTGAAACCAGAGAAACAGAAGAATCCAATGGTATGAAGAAACCACCATTTTACTGAGTATAATCATTAAAACCAATGGTTAAAAGATGGTAACCCTGATACTGCTAAACTAAAATACATATTGATCAATACGGATTCAGTGAATTGAAATGAGCACTGCCGAGCAAGTGAAACATTTTCAGAACATTAGCTATTTCTCTCTACTGTAACCAAAATCGCCAGACAACGCATATACTTTTATGAAAGTAGAGAACCTGGAGATTCGGATAGTGCAAAGAAACCGCCATGTTATTGGGCAAACCTGAGAACAGCGATAGTTCAAAGATGATGACCCCAATACTGCTGATGGAATCTAAGTGAAATTTCCTGCCGGTCGGAATCCGACTGACATGACTTTTTATTATTCCGACAGTCAGAATTCCAAATAGGGTTTGCACGGGATTCCGGGATTTCAGTTCTGATCCCGATCCCGGGATTTAAGTTTTTTACAAAAATTGTTCGATCCTGGGATTATCCCGGGATCGAACATCGATCCCGGGATTGAAAAAACGTCGAAATTTTGCCAACCCTAATTCCGACTGACCAAATTCGCATTTTATCATTCCGACCAACCTTGTTCAATCAGAATCCGAATGTCAGAACCTCCACCGAAATTGTCGGATCTTTCCAACCGACCGTCGGTCGGATGCCATCACTACTACTTAGTTGCTACTTGGTGTTGGTTTATCTCTCGTTGTATATTTCACTATTATCTGCAAGCAACGTTTTCAACTAGTTTAAGTTGAAGTAGTTCTTCTGGTTCGAAAAAGCGGTTGCAATTATGTGTAAAGAGCTGTGGCAGAACGTCTTAATCCATGGGCCCACTCACATGTGGGGTACGATGGCCGATAATTGGACCTCCCCGGCAAGTGATCAACTAGCACGGTGCAGCTGTTGCGGGTTCAATTGTAGTTATCGTGGACCCGACGTGTGTTATGAATAAAATGAAAGGGTCTACGACATTTTGCCTCGTGACAAGTGCCACTCAGACAATTTGCACCGTGAAAGTCTATGATAACGCGTGTCATACTTTTTGTCGAAGTTAGACTTGTCGTAGATGCATTTGTCGGTGACTGAATGCATCACGTTTCACTTTTGACGGAAAAGATATGCGTGCTAATTGTTTTTTATTTTCAGATTCGATGTGCGAATATGCTTGCATTGCGATACAGTTCACGTTTCATTCGGTCAACACGTGGTGCAGTGCACTTAACGCGGCGTAACTTATTAACTGAGCGCTTTTCGCTGAACGAGGAATGGGCATTGCGGCATCAAACACTGGATATGTTAGCTCTTGGCGGTGATTATGAATGGGTTGCAGCAGTGCAGAAAAAATTCCTGGGCGGAGGCACAGCCAGGTGTATATCCGAATGCTTTTTTTAATCGTTTCCTTACTGCGTGCTTTATTCAACTGCATGCTTAGTTTGATCGAATTCTAAATTGAATGTAACAGTAAAGGTGGTTATTGAAGTGCAGTCGACGTTGATGCAGCGGTATGTGCCGCAGAAGAAAAGGATCAGCTTGAGGACTTAATCGATCTGGTATATCGATTGAGGCACACATCAAACACGGCTGATACATTGCAGTCGACTGAGTACGCATTAGTACGAACTATACTTAAACATAACGCTGTAGATTGGCTTTTCAAATTATTGAATGATACGGTTCGTTATTGCTTATTAATTGTTCGGCTGATTATTCAGTTTGATCAGTATGGTAATGGGGACATGTAATTAGTTGAATATTTTACAACAGAGTATGTCTATGATCAGTTATTGCACGTGGGCCTGTCTAATGCTCAGCCGGCTTCAATGGAATAGTTATCGGCTGAAATACATGGATATCAAAGATTAGCTCGGAATATTCGAACTGTTTGTAAAGGTTCTTATTGGTGAATGATTGCAGATAAATTATGGCGTTTTCCTCAATGAACATTCTGCTTGCCTTGCAATCGATCATCTGTTGGAAACAAAAAATTTTGCAGGTAACCTCTACATTTTAATTTTAACTTCTAAGAAAAACAATAACAACAATTTGTTGGCAATGATATCATCCTGTGATTGTAAAATCCATTGCACCTGAATAAAATACTCATTCAGGTCAAGTGCATTTTAAAGTTTCATGATTCAGGTGCAGCAAGGGTAGTAAGTTTTGTTATGCAGCAAGAGATGTTCTCGTGTGAATTGCTTAATCTCTTATCAGTATATGCAACCCTTCGATGCCTTGAGTTGCCACCCGAACAAAGAGTCTTTGCTACCAATAACGAGTCGTCATCGGACACGTCAGAAGACGATTCCAATGAAGAAGATGTTGTATGTTTATTTCTGCTTGTTTGATTCTTGAATAACTTCTCCATTTAAAGTAACATACCGTTTAAGACAAGCACTCATTCTCACCATTCAACTTGAATTTGCACATGTTGAATTTTCTTTCATGGGAGCGAGTGATATTGAAAAAAACTGTTATGTTCGTGCGGAACAAAATACTTTTTAAACACTAATTCATATATCACGATTTCTTTTTTAGAAAATCATGAGGTTAGCCTATTTGAAAAACGAATACTCGGATGATCATTATGATATTGTCGATACTGATCGTTTACTTGGCAAAACACTTTTGTGGATGCTGAAAGAGTGTTCATCATTATCTGAGAAGAGTGTTGTTGATAGCGTTAAACTCATCGGTACTTTACTGTACGGTCACTTCGACGAATTCGCAAAAATCGCGGAAAGTGGATCACCTTTATTACCGTCTGCCATCGACTTGTGTCGAAAGGAAGTTCAACGGAGACTCACAACAGAAGGCGAATCCAACCAGAAATTTAATGAACAACTTTTGGTGAATTAATTATCCCACTTGTTTCACTAACTTCTTTTCAGTATCATTAAATGATTATTTCCGACGTGCAGATGTTCAGCTGAAATCAAGCCTGTGCATTAGGTGTAATCAGCGATGCATAATTTGAAAAAATAACCGAGCTCTGGCCTGGCGTTTCTAAAAGTTTCGTCTCCAGTTCTACATTTTTTGAATTTTCGCTCTGGCTGGGCTCCAGATCCGCACTTTTCAAAATTTCGGCTCCTTCTACAACTCTGGTTTCGCACTTTTTTGGATTCCGGCCCCGCTTTTTTCAAATTTCTGGCCCTGCATTTTTTAAAGATTTTGCCTCTGGCTTCATATGTTCTAGAAGTTAGGTCCCGATCTTTGCTCCAAAACTGAATTTTCGAATTCCTAATTATAGTTCGCACTTTTTCGACCCCAACTGCGGTTCTTGCTCCAACTTAAGTGTTTAATATATATAAGAGCACAGATGAACAGGGGTAAAATAAGCTCAGAACAGAAAAACGAGCGACGGTAATGACTAAAACTGTGGTAATGACAACGTTCAGTATATCAACAATGATACAGATCACAGCTGTGATGAATAAGTGGAAATGAGCTGAACTGAAAGGGGAATTCGCATAACGAGGTACTCCCTCGAATTGTGCGGTAAAGTACAGATTGATCCCCCTTCGATTCCACTTGGATGTATTGATGAAACAGTATGTATAGAAACAACTTTGCCACTTGTGACGGGTACGAGTGATGCTTACATCACTCTTATATGAAATAAACAATGAAGACCATATCAGTTTTCTCTCGATTAAAGTTTCGTAAATTTGCAAAAGTGCAGTCTACTCTAGCTCATTCTCCAGCTGCAGCTCCGTACTCTCAAAATTTCGGCTCCTGCTCCAGCTCCGTACTCTCAAAATTTCGGCTCCTGCTCCAGCTCCCCACATTTCAGAATTTTGTCTCGGCATGGAAATTCCGGCTCTAGCTTCGTGTTTTTCGAAGTACGACTCCGCCTCTGGCTCCAGTTACGCTTTTCTCAATTTCTGATCCCCAGCAGTGCGTCTTAAATCTCATTTTTGGCTCCAGATCTGATATGTCCTCCGCTCTGGCTCCGACTCAGGAGCAGTTCGGATCCGAGGAAAATTGCCGTACAGGTCTCAGCTCCGACTACTGAATGCTAGTGTGAATTGTTTCTCTCTTCTTTTTTTTTTTTTTTTGAGGGAGCTCAGGCATGAATAGGTATAATTATGTTAGAAGGATTGCATAAACTATTATGCCTAAAAACGAATGGGTTTCTGTTTTGTTTTGTAGGCTTCTGTGTATCCTTATATCTCCTCACCTGATCATGCAGCCATCATTCCTCAACCATTTCCAATGTATGTGCAAATGCGCTTTAAGCTGTAATATAATATGGTCATATGCATATGGCTTCAACGGTGTAGAGTATGTTTCCGTGATGTTTTTCAGGTTGTCATTCATATCGTCGAAATCCTTTTTACAAATTCAGAATGTTGTTTTTTAAAGGAGAAACTTGATGAATGTACCCTTTTGGACAATGTCTCATCAGCGTCACTGTGTAGTTTGCTTGAAGAGCAAATCAGAAGAGTACAGCCGAGTGAGGAAAAGAAAATAATGGACACACAAAAGAAGTTATTCAAAGATTGGACTGCTCAACGTGTAGCGCTTATAAGTGCTCAGGTTTGTACTTTCAGCTGGTTTTCAAAAAAAATCATCTTCTCACCCCCATCACGACCGATTTGATTGTTTTCTCAAGAAAGAAATCAGCCGACTGATGTCTGAATAGGTGATGTGTGACGTATCGGTTAAAAATCACTTCATAAATTCCATTCGCTCGTATATGATTTGTTCAGTAAATTTTGTATATACTCTAAACGACGAATTTTGGAGATTCCCGATCAACTTGCTTGTATTTGATGAGCTGATTGCTTTTTTTCTGTGGTAACTGGCGTCTAAATATAGGTTTATTTACCTTTCAAGGCCGAAGCACTGAACTGTCGTTTGAGAATAAAAGAAATAAAGAGACAAAAAGCAGAATTGGAAGCGAAACGAGAAATGTTGTACTTCTTCGAAAATCGAATGAAATGGGAAGATCAGGCGAGACGGAAAGATCAAATTTTCAATGAGTTAAAAGATCAGAGTGCTGGTTCTGATTCCAGTGAAGAACAATATAGTGCCACATTGTTCGAAAAAGTTAGAGAAGGTAAATACAGTTCGTTTACAAGTGTTCCTTGAAAGATATTTTTCATATTCGGTAATGATTACCACATATCGGAATCATTCTAAGATTTCTAGCAAACTTCGATATTTTTATACAGTAAGGTGAGCATTTGGCCGATTTAATTCTTCAACAAAATTATCAGACCAAAAATAACGCAAAAAATTACTGGCCGTCAAAAATAGGTGAGCGTGAGTTTCGACCAGAGTTCTTAAGCCTGGGCTTAATTCTGATTTCAATTGGCGGCAATTCAGATTGACTCACTATTCACCGTATTGTACAATACGGTGAATAGTGAGTCAATTGATTGCAACTTATTGTGTCCGAATACAGATCCATAGAAAGGGAGGCATTGATTCGGAGAAGAAAAAGGAGTGTGGGTGACGCGTCTACTCATCATTATATAATATCATAGAACGCAGAATTCAAAAAAAATTAAAATATCTTTTAATTTTGAATGAGCGTGAATTTCCTTGACAATATTCAGAGATTGCATTTGCAGGGAATTGGAAGCAAAAGAAGAGCGTTAAGAGTTAAAAATCCAAAAGCACAAAGAGCGTAAACTGTTATCTCACAAACACTATGTCCATTTCGTATTGTTCAGTTGTTTTTTTAATAAAAATTCATTTGCATACATTGTTGTACTCATTATTTCACTGGATATGTCGTTTTATACTGTTAAAATTGTACTTGTGCAGATGGACAGTTCAAATATACTTTATGTGAACAACTTTTTAGCGTCGCTACAAGCAAAATTGTTTTTTGAAAACATGACAAAGCGTCCGACGACAGCTTGTCGTTAGTTTTGGACGGAATCAATTGGCGTTGCTAAGAATATGTCATTTGTTCGAATCGTATGATTTATTGAGCCTCATAGAAACTTTCCAACTGTTTCATTTATAGAATCGAAATTTCACTTCTAGGATCGACATTCATCCAGAAATTCGAAGCTTCGAATCCAGGATGGAAGTTTGGCCAAGCCTTTCTCAGAATTCAAATTTTGTGTCCGTAATAAGGGGTGAAGATGAGTGGAATCTAGAGCTTTCTGGAGTACTACTCACGGTAAACAAAGATGAGCCTGGAGTTGGGTGGAGGGACATTGAACGCAATTTCATCGAAAAGGAAATTTGAAGGAAGTCTTGTCTTTACGTCATACATCGTAAAACTCCAGATATATTCAGTCTTATTTCTGCTCCTCCCTCAGCTCAAAATCTCTCCCCCTTTCTCCATAACTGGCTTCCATTTTACGCACAGTTAGGGTGACGGATATTTAGCTGCCTACCAAGTGCTCTGCGCATGCTGTGGGAATGGTGATCAACACTCAGCGACGCTTCTGAATAACGGAGTATCATCGGTCGGCAACAGTTATTATTATTAGACAGCCGAGATCCTTTTATATCTAATGGCACCAAAAATGGACTTGCTAACGGGCGAAACTGCGGAGCAGGATTTCATTAAGATTGTACCCTTCACATGCTGTGGGTATGGTGATCAATATTGAATGACACACATACCTTCAGAAAATTAAAGATCTCTGAATAACGAGGCGCAGTACCCACTTATTCAACCCAATAGTTCGTTTCGGTTCGATTCGAGCAGTTCGAACACATTCATCATTTTGTGTGCGTATTACGTGAATAATGCCTTTATTGTGGTATTTGATGTTATTTTACTGTTTTGTTTTAACGTTACGTTCATTTGTGACATGCATTGACCCTTCGAAGTAAACTCTCAACTTAATATTATTCTAAATAATACATTCGGCATTCGTTTTCTTCTGGCTGGTGATATCATAACGTGTTATTCTTGTTGCTAACGTATTCATTAAGAGAGCTCGGCTTATTCACCAGCCTCAAACGGAATCTTACCCTTGCGTCACCTCGGAATCCATCCCAGCTCACAGTGAGACTTGAGCCACGGGATTGAAGCTCATCTAGAGTTCAGGTGTTTGCTTGCATCATCGCTTTTTTTCATAGACACGTTTACCGCAAAATTATCCATGAGGTTGTGAAAAAAACATTCTGTCGCAATTTTAGATAAGGAGGGATGCTTCAATAGCTGCTCGTTTGCTAAGCATCACAACAGCTCTAAACTGCGGTTACCTCAAGCCATCCCAATGAACTATGAATAATGTTTTGAGTGAGGAAATTCGTGATTATAAAAACACAACGAATGAAAACAAGAATCGTAAGTTGTTGCAGCTAAACGTATGTATATTCAGAAAGAGCCTTTGAAAGTTCAAGTCACTCCACCCCCTTGGAACAGCAACGGATAAAAACATTACCAGGAATATTTAAATACTTAATTAAGTTAGGTTACTCATGTCACCTAGGCACTATGCGTTACCGCATCAAAACAAACGAAAACTACTCATTGTCAGTCTGAAGTCGAGAGCATAAGATATCATAGTACGCCTTTTGTAATGAGCGCATGAAATGATGAAAATGCGTTCGCATTGCTTAAATCGAATCGAGACGAACTATGAAGAGTTCAGTAAGCAGGTCTACACTCTAAGGAGACCACTCGGTGGAGAACTGATTATCCTAGACCCGCATAGCCGACCTATAAAATGCTCTTGCAATTACTTTGGAAGCTTGAATTTAATGGTCAGTTGAGAAATGCTATCGCAATGCGTCAACATACGGTAGTGTTGTGCGAATGTGAACGAATTATTAAGAGATGGCGAATAAATTTGTCCACGAATGAAATTTTATGTTCTGCGTTATATTTACTTGCTAAAAATTGATTGTTTTTGCTGTGGTTGAGATCAATTCGATTAAATTGTTTGAAAAATGCATCCAATTTAACCTCTTCAATGTACTCGTAATGTGAAAAGACGTGAACAGTAGTAATAAGTATTTTCGAATTTGCTTTTGACATTGTGTTTCGTCGTTCCACTTTATATTTCGAAACCTGCTTTCAATGAGCTGAGAACACTTTCGAATGCTTCTTTGTCTGTGTAATTTAAAAGCCGTGTTTTCTGTAATTGGTATCCCGGAAGGGCACAAATTCATCGACATTTTTTAGAATATCGCTCTGATTTGTTAGTTAAGCATTGATTAATAATTATAGTTGGAGTGATGTCATTTTCAGTTGCAAATATATGCGAGCATTGCTGTTTGTATCTTACTAATTAGACTCGGTTGTATTTATGCTTTGCGTCACCACTGCGTTTATTTCAAATATGTTGATGTTAATTGAAAAGCAAAAATTGAAGTAGTTATTGAAAAAGATGGCTGATGCAACAGGCGAAGATGGTGACATACGTTTGGAAGAGGATGATATCCTCGACGGCGCCAGCGATTTGGCTGCTTCAGGTGATCACATGAGCGAGGATCCGGTAAGTTTTCATTGCTTTAAACATACGTGTTGCTGATAATGTTTGTGAGTGATATACACATATTAAACCACTTGTTCTGCATTTAGTACGTAAGCATTATCTGACAGTATTTGAAGATCTCCGGATTACTTCGTTCAGTTCTAAAGATCTCAGTACTAAAATGTTTAGCACGCGTCTTCGGTCAATCTTTCTTTATGCTTCTGACAGTATTGACCATGTTGTTTAAGTTATCTACCGGATGTGATCAAACTTGACCGGAAACGCGGTAGCCGTCTTTGTTATATAGAATGAAACAAAATTCAATAGAGTGGACAAATGAGAGGCGATATGAATTGTTTAATAACAAAAATTGACTCATGTTCAAGGATATGGAAGCGTTGACAAATCGCATGAAAGAAATAGAAGAGGAAGCGCAGTTAATTCGTCAAATGCAAACTGATGTCGAAAAACATATGAACATGAGCTCAAGCAGCTCACTTACACTATCTCCAGCTGCAACAATGGAAGAGAAAGTTGAAGCCGATAGCAGATCTATATATGTTGGCAATGTATGTATCTGTTTTATGCCATGAGCACTGGAATCATTTTTAATTAAGCTATTTAAAGTGGCCTTGTTGAAGGTATTTGATATCATGAGGTAGTTATAACTTCGATAAATATCATTCAATTTATTACATAATTGAATTTAGTGTTGAAATTATTAGAACGTTAGAAATATCGTCAAAAGGTCTTGTTGAATTAACAGTCATCGAATTAAAAGTTACTTCGTAAGGAATTGCTGAATAGATACTCACATGTAGAAACCTTTCTCAGTTTATGTGAGATATGGTCTTATTTGAGGTCGACTATTGCTCAACTGCAGAGGAACTGGAAGCTCATTTCCATGGATGTGGCTCAGTTAATAGAGTAACTATTCTTACTGACAAATATACCGGACATCCCAAAGGGTATGTTTTTCCATTTCTGAAAATCATTTTTTATACATTCGATTGATCATGAATTCACAGTTTTTGACATCAACTTCATTATTCATTCATTAAATACATTTTTGTGAACTTCTGTAACACTTAGGTTTTTACGATTGAATCTTTGTTTTTATATTCTGTACCACTAAGAGACAACTTTGGACGTTTTTTCTGTTAGTTTTGGAATTGCAAAAGAGGAAGAAAAGCAAATTTGTAATGCAAAGGGGTTTGCATTTTAAACATTTTCTAAACTTATGTGAATTTTTTTCAAGGGTTTTATGTACGTTAGTGTTAAATATTCGCATTCTAGATTCGCTTATATTGAATTTGCTGATAAGGAATCTGTACAAACGGCTATGGCGCTTGATGATTCCCTTTTCCGTGGACGCCAAATTAAGGTTAGAATTTTCGAAACTTGTGCTCTGTGAGTGAGTCTTTTTTACTGGATGATCGCAAGAAAAATTCTTCTTGAGAGCATCTTCTCAATCACACTGATCCATCTATAATGCAATCTCAGTTTCAGTCAAGATAAATACTTTTCAGTTGATTGTGTGTTCGAACGAACTGTGAAGAATGAACCGACCGTTTTGCAGCCGTTTAAATTACATAGCCAATTTGATGCCAGAAAATGAAATATTAATATATTTTTTGTTTGAGGTATGTCCAAAGCGAACAAACAAGCCTGGAGTGAGCACAACAAATCGACCACCTCGTGCGCGTGGTCGTGGCGGTGCTCGTATGATCGTCAAATATATTTATGGTGGTGGCTATAGAGGCGCTAGATCCCGTCCGCCAAGGTGGTAATAATGAAGTATTCACTTTTCAATTGACTTAGTTTAGTTTTACTTATGACAGTTGATATAGCGTTTGTGATTGTTTCGTTGTGTTCAAGGTGAATCAGCATTAAGTTATTCGATCTGAAACGAATGCTTTCTCTTCAGGCGACGTGGTGCTGTATTCTAATGTTATGATACGATTGACTTATTAATTAATTTGGTATTTTCATTAAAGAAGATAAAACGAAGATGCTAATTGTTCAAATTCATGGCATTTTATTTATGCCTTCGCTCAAATTTCACTTCAACTTCGAGCATCGTGAAATTTGTTTCGTTCATATTCATCAATTTTATTCATTCATTTAATTCAAGCGTTTTGTCTTTGTTTTGATTCACTATTCTTCGCAGTGTTCGTTCGTTTGTATTTTGGGACGGTCCCACGAACTATCTGTCATATTCATAATGATTAATGCAAGGGATGTGATGTTCACATATTTGTATTAATGCCGCCATCTTCTCTTTTTCAATTCATTCAAAAAATGGGCACCACAACTGGAGATGCTTCAAAGATAGCTGAGGTGTTTTTTTTTGGACTCTGGTTACAGGAGGTTTCACGTTGATGGGGCAGGGGTGTGCTTCTCAGTTTGATAACTTTCACGAGTCACGTCTTTCCGCACTGAAGCGAATATTCTTCCTTGATATTTAATTATTCAAATTGCAGTAACTTCTGATCACTCAAATTACCGCAGATGTGTGTTTTCTGTATTTGTTACGAATGGGAAACTGGATTTGAATTACGCTTTTCGATTAAATTTGCTGTTAGAGCGCATAATTTTTAGTTATTGAATTTGCATTCATCGCGATTCTCAGTCCCTTTCAACCTCATTCTCTTCACAAATTTTCTTTTTGTTTTGCTCTATTCTCCAGTTACATCGTTCTGTTCCAGCCTATAAACATAATCACTAAACTTATCCAAATGCAGTCTGTTTTATCATCGGAACTGTTAACGATCCAATCGATATTTTAACATCAATGGTTCAGTCAATGATTTTTGTATTATTCTGTTGAAGTATTCGTTCTTTTGAGTTCGAATATTTGTGCTGAAATTTCAACAGAATTTGTACTTGTATTTTTAAAAGTTATCAATAGAAATTTTGTAGTCACCTGTTTTTATGTGTACCGATTCCTAGTTGTTTTATGCGGACATTGTAAAGTTGTTACCATTTTGTGTTGATTGTTGGAAATGAACAAACTGTTCCCAGTTTCCACACTTCAGCAAGCTTTATCTGTCCGCTATGGCTTATTTGCAACTGTTCATTTATTATGATTACGTACCTGCTGTCTTATTGTTAACCTCATAACGTCAACTAAAAATCATTGATTTATCATTGCATTCAACCAAGACTGTAATCAATAACTGTTAATGTTCACTTAGAATCTTTCTGCGAGTTCTCACTTCATTGCTAATAAAGTGATCATGTTCTTCTGATAGCGTAACTTCTTATTCACACCAACCCTCTAACAGACAAGCGATCATAACCTAGGCGCTGTTGTTGAGCATATTGTTTTGTTGATTCGTATTTATGTTTGTATTGAAGTGTTCTGAAATGATATGGCAGTTAGTTGATTATTGCTATGATTTGTTGTTATTGTCTTTGTGTTGTTATTGTTATCAGTTGTGGAATGCAATGTTCTGAACGTTACACTTGCTGTTGATTTATTCAATCATAATTCGAGTTTCATTAAAATGACTTATTTCTGCTTATTGGCTATAAATTACGATTTGTAATGTTGCTTTTTGGTTGATCAAATGCAAACTGCTTGTCTGAGAAACGCATGCATCAACGGATCTAGCTCAGACACCGTCTGATTAATCATCTTGGTAAGGTGCAATCAGCCGAATTCATTGGCTGTGTTTAGTGGTAATCTAAACTAAGGTATTGTCGGATGGCGCTCTCTTCGTAATGATAATTGATTCCCTATCTTTTATTACACAATGATCCGCAACTGTGATTTTAAAAGGTAAGAAGCCTACTGGAAATTTCTGATGACTGCTGTCAAGTAATCTTGCAGAGCTACTATTACTTGATAAATTTTGGTTGTATTCAATAATATTTTCGAGGCAATATGTTTGTTGATCATTGAATTGCATCATTTCAAAACTACTCGAAAGTTTGATCGAGCGCTCGAGCGTGTTCGGCTCAGCGTAAGCGCCTATTGCTGATCAGTTTCCAATTTCAGTGCGTTAGTGTTTTTGAATTATTTTTATTAGGCAAACGACATCATGAATCTTTCACATCATTGCTTGAACCTTATCGCTGTCGAATGAAGCAATACTTTATCTGCCAAAGAAATGTTTTCGTTATTATACTTTGATCATTAAAGCAGTGAATAATCTGTAGAGTAATTTTTATTACCATGTGCATAAAAGTTAACTTCCAGTTCCCTGATTTCATTTAGAGTACAATCATTCGCAGTTGAATATCGCAACTTCTCAGTTATCTCTCATATTGTTAGATCCTTTAACATGTCGTTGGAAATGGCTTATGGCCTCTAAACAAAATTTCAGTTAGGTCGGAATCCGACCGAACCGACTTTTTAACAGTCCGAAATTCTATATTCCGACCGAATTTCAAAATCCTTCGGTCGGAATCTGAATCTCGGATTTCGACTGAAATTCGTCGGATTTCATCGGTCGAACTTCAGTCGGTTACATCGGAAGCAGTGGTTCCCAACCGAGGTTGCTTGCACCCTTTAGAGTGTGAGATAATATTCCCGTGAGTGCAAAATAACATTTCATTATTGTGCATTGAAATGGGCGAGGGCGGATTTCAACGCATGCATGTGTGTAAAGTAAATGAGGATGGACTTTAACGTACGTATTTTTAAAAAGGCTAGAACTAGGGTTTGCACGGGATCCCGGGATTTCGGCTCTGATCCCGATCCCGGGATTTAAGTTTTGAAAAATCCCAGGATTTCGGGATTTGATAAAACAGGTCAATTTGCTTGAATTTTGATAGTATACTCATCTTGAAGCGAGTCTTAATCATTCCCATCTCATTCATATGCAGTCATTTTTGCTGTTTGTCCTCAATCATTGATGGACAGCTAAGGAAATAGACGCAAATTGGACGAATGACATGATCAACGACAGCTCGATGAACTTTTACGTAACATTTCATCGAATATTCAACTGATTATCCTGCTCTCCATTGGTTTATATCACGCTCATCTGGATGCATTCCTATGTAGACTAACAGAGATAATCAGATTTTCTAATAAGAACCAAGAACAACAAAATTCAACGAAATTTTGAGTCATTTCCTCCAACGCGATTTTTTCGGCTTCAGTATTCCATCTGTTAATTCAACTGCATGTTCCAAAGACTGCAAGTCTTTTTGCTTCGCTATTTGGACACATTTTCATCCGATCGAGAGGTGCATTGATTCTTACTGAGTTCACTTAGTGAGAATTCACTGTCGAAGTAAGGGAAATTGTTCCATTCAAAAGGATCTTAAGCTTAACTATCAAGTACATTTCCATGGTCTGTGATCGAAATTATCAAATATATAAGTGCTCGATGGTTCGATGAAAATGCATTGCGGATTTTTTTTCACTTTTTAGATAAACTCTGAACTTTTAATTTTTTCAAAACTCAAATGATATAGTTTATGCGATGGAATCTAAGTGAAATTTTTGTAAAAATTTTTCGAAATGGTAAAAATGGTAAAAACATTTCTTTCGTAATAAATCGAAATTTCCGAAATGGCAGAATTCACCTGACGTTAATACTGCGAGAAAATGGACTTTAAGCATTGCAAATAAGTGTTTGAGAATCAAGAATTTCATACTCACATGCAAATGTACTGTTATTAGCTTAGACCCGAGACGACAAGATGCCTTAGCATAGGAAATGCAGTATGCCCTTGCGACATGATCATTAGCATCACTATATGAAATATTAATTTGAATTTGAATAATTTGGTTTCTCGAATTTGTTCAATAATTTGTTGAATTAACTCCTTTCTGATTAATAATGAACATATTGGTTCGAAAAAATGTGTTTGAACATGTCCCGCATCGATATTACAAAAATTGTTCGATCCCGGGATCAAAAATCGATCCTGGGATTGAAAGAACGTCGGGATTTGCAAACCCTAGCTAGAACGTACTCCAATGGTACACACTTATCTAGTTTGATCAATTTCTTTAATCTTGTTCACTATTCGTGATGTTTTTATTCCCACTGGTCGTAGCTAACATTGCATATTGCAACAGTTATTTTACTGATAACGGTCATTGCCCTAGTGTCAAGTTTCTTTTCAATAATGGCTGCTGAATACACCCAGGAAATATATAATCAAATAGATAGGAGAAATTGAAATAGTTACATGCAGCGTGATTTCATAGGCAGGACTTTTTAGAATCTGTTTATCCTGATTCTGGTTAGTTTATGTGCTGTTTGTACTGTTGCTGGTGCGAAGGCGACGATTAATAGTGTAGTTTATCAACAATAATAAATGAAAGCGGCACTGACGATTTAATAGAAAGATGACACAGCTGATGAGTGGACGATGATGACGAAAGATGCCGACCATGGCGTGTACAACTACTACTTCAGCGGCTATACTGACTGCACACTGAACTCACACTGAGCTGCTTATATAGTCACTGGGATCAGTTAATTACAGAATAATGATCATATGGTTACAAATTGTGTTGGGAACCGCAAGATTTTTCTCGGTGGTCACCGATCGAGAGCCCTGTCGGTAATCACCGTAAATCGGTATTCACCGAGGGGCAAATTTTGAGCATTGGTCGGTTGCGGTTAGGTTGTAATCGCGGGGCGGTTTGCCACCGCCACTGATCGAGCAAGTCTTGTCGGTTGCGGTCGGTAGTCACCGACGGGTCGGTGATCACCGCAACTCGGTATTCATCGACCGTGTGATTTTGAGTATCGGTCGTTGTCGATCGGTTGTAACTAGCGGTGGTGTCTCTATACCACTTTTTTGAAAACTGTTCTATTCTGTTCGTTTGGGCTCAAAAACGGCTCTATTCTGTTCGAACTGTTCCTTCCTGATTTGCGAACTGTTCTATTCTATTCTATCCTATTCTACCCCCCTTAAACTGTGCTATACTGTTCTAACTGTTCTATTCTATTCTATCCTACTCTACCCCTCTTAAACTGTGCCATACTGTTCTAAGTGTTCTATTCTATTCTACCTCTCTTAAACTGTGCTATACTGTTCTAACTGTTCTATTCTATTCTACCCCCTTAAACTGTGCTGTACTGTTCTAACTGTTCTATTCTATTCTATCCTATTCAACCCCCCTTAAACTGTGCTATACTGTTCTAACTGTTCTATTCTATTCTGTTCTACCCCCCTTAAACTGTGCTATACTGTTCTAATTGTTCTATTCTGTTCTGTCAGTCAGAAAAGCGACACGATAAAAGTTGTGGTAATTAGGCTTCGAAACGTGGTTTTACGGCATTTGCAGTGCAAAATGGAGATTATTTTGGGTGAGAATTGGAGGAAAGCGGAGAGTTTAGGGTTATGGTAATCACCATCATTGAAGAACATATTGGAGGCGTAAAATGTGAACAATTTTTGTGATGGATTACTCCTAGAGTTTAGAGTACGACCAACATTTGAATGTGGGGTGTTCATTCGGAAGCATATTTGCATCCTTTAGTTGTTTCTGGAGGAAATTCCTCACAAACAGTCATTGGCAGCTTTGAGAATTAACTGCGATAACTTGTCCTTGATGAGTTGTTTCACCTCTCACTGATAGCCTTTCTTCTCTTCCCAGTGATGTTGAATATGATGATAAACTTATCATAGTACGTATCATGTATATTAAAACTTATCATACTATTCTTAATGAAGATCAAGTGAAACAGGTAGAAAGTAACTGTATTAATAAAAATAATAATAAGGAAAATTATAAATTATAATGAATGATAATAATAAATAATAATTGTTTAAACAATAGTAATAAATAATAATAACAGCAATAATAATAGCAATAATAGTAGTAATAGTAATAATGGTGATAATAATAATAATGATAATAATAGTAATAATGGTGATAAAAATAATAATAATAATAATAATAATTGCAATAATGGTAATAGTAACACTAATAATAAATATAATAATAGTAATGAAAATAATAATAGTAGCAATAGTAAAAATAATAAAATATACAAATATAATAATAATAAATAGTAATAAATATTACAATAATCCAACAATGGTAATTTATCTCACCGCAGTATTCAAAAGGAACAGTTTAGGGAACAGCCAAAATCTGTTGAAAACTGTTCTATTCTTTTTTTGGGCTAAAAAACGGTTGTATTTTGTTCAAACTGTTCCTTCCTGATTTGCGAACTGTTCTATTCTATACCATGGAACAGAGACAAGAAATCGTAAACACTATACAAAAGATCGTAGACTTATTTTAATATCATCTTTCAGTCAGTAGAGGTTCCAAGAGAAACTTCCAGGTGAAGTGAAGACATACATTGATTGCAGTGCAGGATTTTGTGATAGTTGAAAGTAATTTCAAGAAGAGTGAAACGATTCGTAATTAGTGCCAGTTGAAGGTGCTGAGCAGAGAACCGAAACGGCAATGTTCAAGTGATTAGATGTGTGAATTCAGTTTAATAAGTATATACCATTCGTTGATTGTCATTATAAATCGAACAGTTCATCGATATTTCTCTACAGTTCGATTTAGATGCAAAAGTTGACTCAATATAAGAAAGCATCTTATTGGAATGAGCGCTTCAGCAACGAAGAAACGTTTGAATGGATTGCTGAATGGGATCAATTTGCACATCTAATTTTACCCCATCTTGATGCTAATCATAGGTCAGTGATAATTATGCACTCAACCAGTTTTATTTTTGATTTCTTTGGAAATATTTATGTAGTTGAAATCAATGGCAGAATAACAATGAGGTGATTACTAAATTTTTTTAATATGACGAAATCTAAATATTGACTTTGAAAACTTCTGAGGTGAAACAAAACTTCATGAATGAACAATTTGAATCGAGAGAACTGCGAATTCATTCACAAATTTACAATAAGTGAAACTAATTTTGTTTGTTATTTATTTGATTGTGAACACTAATAACATTTCATTGAAGAATATTACATATTGGATGTGGCAACAGTAATCTATCATTTATACTTTATGCGCTTGGCTTTCATCATATAACAAATGTTGATTTTTCGAATACATTGATTGAGAAATGTTCCTGTCAATATCCGAGCATGAAATGGATTTGTGATGATATTCGAACACTCTCGAAATTGGATGATCAAACTTTCGATATTGTTATTGAGAAGGCGACTATTGAAGCGTTAACAGCTGATGAAAAGGTTAATGAAACCCTAAATCTGCTCATTTACCTGTTCATTTTCTAAAAATCACTTTATTTATCTCTTTTGATGAGTCTTCCATTACACTCGCAATATTAATGATCTTTATTCAATTCGTTTCTTTTGTAGAGTGCATGGAGTTATTCAAATGATGCGTTAAGGGATATTGATGCTGTTTACAATTCTGTTTTTCGTACACTGGTCAATAATGGAACATTTTTTTCGATATCATTCACTCAACCGCATTTTCGTGTACCTCTGATCATGAAGTGAGTTGCCATTTTTATGCTTCCAACAGAATTTTCTGTTCAATAATTTTTCATCAAACATAAATCGATCAGTGAGAATTTCGAACTGAAACTGTGACGGTTCGAATGTTACAATCATCTATCGCGATCGTATAGCACATTGAAAATATTCAAAGCTGTAAACCCGACTGAAAATTTTGTGATTATATTATATAATTCAGTAACTGTTATTCCTATTTAAGGGATCGTCACTGGAGTTGTTGTGTGCAAGAATTCGGTGATTATTTTAGTTTTTTTTGTTATCGATTGAAGAAGTGTGATGCACCGAATTGGAGTGATTTAGAACGTTATCTCAATGGTGATTTTTTGAAAGCATACGTCCATTATGATGATCCTTTTTGAAAACCTCCCAAGCGAATTTGATTAAGTTGTTTTTTGCATTGAATTTGTAACTGATCATCAACTTGAAAAGGAGGTTAGCTTTTAACTTGTTTCTTTTTTCCAATGAGTTAACTTTTCCTCATTTGCAGTAACAAAAAATGTGAATAATAATTGTGTAACGTCGTGTATTGAAAATAATGAAGAACCGGATGAAGTACTTCGATTGTTCAACGATGCCTTCGATGATAACGAATGAACTCAGAATTGGACAGACTTATTGTTGTGAAATACATTCGCATTGTTACTGACTTGTTGATTTTTTGCGTTTTCTTCAGTCGTGAAGCTCTGATGAGTATCGTCGTGACTGAATGATGCCCATTCGTCACAACTAAGGTTAAGGTATAAGATTAACTGCAATTGAAGCATAGCCGAGATTTTTTTCCAGTGGAAGTGAGGATAGGGCGTAAAATGGTCTGGTTCCAAAAAAAAACCAGCTGATTTTTGGGTTGATCTTTGTACATTTATTTTTTATCCATTCTACTTCTCGCCTTCCTTTTTCTTTTACCTATTTCCCAATTCCTTCTCCTTTTCCTCCTCTTTTTCCTTCTCTTTCTCTTTTCCTTTTCCTTTTTCTTCCACCTCTCAGACGGGGGAAGGGCGGAGATGAGGCTACTACTCGCCTGGCTTCGCCAGTTGATAAAACCACACCATCCAAATACACACGGTTAGTGTTCGTCGGGGAACGCGGGGAGCGCTCCTCCCCGCACATTTTGCTCCCCGACTTTTTTGGCGGGGGCCCTCTCCCGTCCAGTTTCCTCTCCGCGGGGNCCCCCCCCCCCGGGCGATCCGCTCCCCGACTTTATTCTCGGGGATTTGTTCGTTTTGAAATGTGAGTATAAGGTGTTTGGCAAATCATCCACATGAACTCTTTAGTCTTTCTTCTTCGATTGTTCGGTGATGTGGTTCCGTAAGATTTGTTTGCTGGGTGTTTTGAAAATTATTTTTGTGTTTGGGTGCGGTTGGATGCATTGAAGACGAGCTTCAACAGTTAACGTTCTCTTTACTTGCACATTCACAACAATAATCATAAGAACGAATTTAGAATTATAATACTGGTTAAGATTAAAGGAAAGATAAAGAATAAATGATGACATATGGATGACGTGATATAGAACTTACGAAATTACAAATTCTCAATATATTCGTAAATAAGATAAAATATTTTGATATGATATAGATGTTGCAAACGGGGAATAAATCATAAGACATTCGTGAATAACATTATTCACGACACCGGGTTATGCTGTTTGGTGGAGCGTGTTTTTTGCTCTAATTATCGTATATTAGAACAGTGGCTTAGGAGGTTGTTTCAGTTTATTTTCTATTTGTAGTGATTTCCACGACATGAACTTTTAGAAAATGTGTTATTTTATTGTAGTGAGTAGAATTGTTGTGGTTGATATCTTTGTAGTAGTGCTAACGTGGGGTATTGTTGATGTAAGGAGATTAGTTGATGTCATTGGATTAGAACGAAATGGTGACACACTTGAGTTTGGTTGAGTTGAGAGTTAACGAACAAACGAACTTGATCAATTGCGATCATGAAAAAACAATACTAGCAAAAATTTCATTTTGAGGTATTTGGATTATTGGGGGTGTGAGTTACTGTAAAAGTGATACGATATTGGAGATAATAAGATAAGTTAAAACTGATGAGGTAGATATGTAAATAAAATAGAACCAAAGTTGTTGTTTTTATTTTATTGATATTGATTCGTTCTTTTTATTTGATTGATACGACGATTGTGAAGACAGTATGGGTAATCAGCGCACATGCGCCAACAGAGGGAGCTACGGACGATGAAAAGGACTCATTCTATGAAGATCTCAACAAGGTCATAGACAAAGTAAAATCAAATCATTTGTTAATAGTGGGATTGGTAGTAACGCCCAATTTGGAGAAGGTGAATCATCGGCTGCCCTCGGAAAGTGGTACGTTCCGTCCCGAGAAACTACCGAAAACGGGAGAAGACTGCTTGACACCTGCGGAAGTAGAGGACTGGTAATTGCTTCATCGCTGAAGAGAAATCGGAGAAAACATCGAGTCGCATGGTGCAGAAACGTTGAAATCAGTACAGAAGAAAAACGGAGACGAAGAAGTGCACTTCTAAGAAATCAGATAGATTACATCCTGATATCGAAAAAGTGGGTACACACGGTCAATAAATCGCGGAGTATTTGGAACACTGCATTCGACATTGACCATGCACCGGTATCTCTCACGATAAAACTCAGGTTTCTGAATCATCGCAGATTACAACAGTGTCTGCGGCTCGACCTTGAACAACTATGTAACGATAGTCGGGTGAGAATGACTTACCGGAAACTAGCAGCAATCAAAACGTCCCAGTTCACCAAGAACAAGGATGAAGATCTTAACTCCGCATCCTACACAAGCGCTTAGCTATCCTGTGCACAACAAGCCTTAACAAAGCCACCACAGACATCAAGAAGACCGTTTATTAGCCCGCACGCTGAGTATCTTGCTACGAAAGCTTCAATCCTTGGGCGCAAAAAATCAGCCGAGGCGGTTAAGATAAAGAAGGCTTTGCATAAGCAACTGCGGAAAGATCGTGAAAAGGAATGGGACAGGAGAGTCAAAGGGATGGAAGACGCGGCCAAGTCCGGGAATATAAGAAAACTATACAACGTGCTGAAACGATACAGCGGAAAAGCAAAACGACGGCCTGACTGTCTGGTTATTGCAGGAGAAGAGAGGCTGACAGTTGGTAAAGAATGCATGAAACAATGGGGATATCACTTTAAGACGTTGCTGAACCGTCCTGAGCCAACCGGACCGGCACTCGACCATCAACGAGACGCCACCTGTGAGATAGACATTGAACCACCTTCATTGGAGGAAGTGGCCCGCGCAGTACAGCAATTAAAATACGGTAAGGCAGCGGGGGATGACGGCATAGCACCTGATATGATAAAAGCGTTGTCAGCCTCAGGATTAAATAAATTACACAAGCTATTGAGGACATCTGGGAGACCGAAGAAATTCTAACAACTTGGAAAAACGCTATAGTCATTCCCATCCATAAAAAAGGCAGCATAACTGACCCCAGTAATTACAGAGAAATATCACTTCTATCGACACTATATAAAGTGCTCGAACGTGTCGCCATCGATCGACTGCGTTCGATTCGAGATGAACGAACAAGAGAAGAACAAGCCAGGTTCCGAGTTGGCCGGTCAGCAATTGACCAAATCTTCAGTCTCAGACGCATAATTGAAACCCGAAATCGGTACAATCAACCAGCATACATCGCCTTCATAGACCTTGCGTGCGCCTTCGATTAGCTGTGCCGCAATCGTCTATTTCAACTACTCCGAGCTGTCGTCTTTCCTTGATTTGTGGGCACTTGTTTACTTTTGAGGAGTAGGTCGCACGCGAGAACCCACGCGCGCTCGCGCACAACACCACACACATAAACCATGAGGCTGAGGCTGAAGCTACGCTTAGGTTGAGACCGGGGCTACGCCTACTGCGCACAGTCTCGGTCTGTGTGAAAGCGTCGTTCGTAATATGTGTGAGCGTATGTGTGCAATTGTGCGCGAGCGTGCTCGCGTGCGACTCCGTCAAAGTAAATCAGTGGCGATTTTTGGTCTCACCAGTGCCTTTCCCAGATCCTCGAAAAAAGGCGTCTCTTATGGAACTTCCATTTGTTCCACTCTGGGTTCAGTGCCATCCAAATGACAAAGGTATTGTTTGCTGAGATGTCCAATATGTCAAAGAATATCACCAGTGGCCAGCGTAGAGTCCTCCGTCAGCAGCTGTAGGCCATCACAAGGTTGTCCGTATTGTCTACTCCCCCTTTTGTGGCATAATCCATGATGATCTTTGGTTTGGGTCCTGGTCACAGGTTCTTCCATCTCCGTGCAGTGTACTCATGAGTATCACATTCTTGCCTTTCTTCGGTACATAGGATACCAGGGATGTGTCAGCGGTATACGCAAACTTGGAAGAGTTGACAGGCCTGTTGGGGTAGAAGGTGGAGGCTCTGACTTGTTTCTCCATATCCGTATTCACCTACTTGTCCCACATTGTTCTGATGGTAGCCAGTTTGTCTTCCTGCCGTCAAGCTGGTCTGTCACCTCGCTTGTCACAGCAGATAATCCTGGAAGTTCTATGAAAGTTTTCCGGAGACATTGTTGCACGGAAAATTTCTCTTTCAGTTTCTGCATCCCACAGGGATTCTGCGGATTCCTTCTTGGACCTGAAAACTCCAGCAAGGATAAGAAGCCCGAAGTAGGCACGTAAATGGTTTGTTCCATTTCCTTCCACCTCTCTCTAAAGACATCTTCCTTTTAATTAGTGCTGTCAAGAACAATTTCCCGGATAGAATCTGGGATGAAAAGCTCAAAAGAAGACTTGATGTCTTGTGTGTAAATAATTGGTATCCGTGTTGGCCCTGGTTGCATCCTTGTCATACTGACAGCCTTGCGGGGTGCCTCTTTTCTTGGGCGAGAAGATCATCTTATTTCAAAATTTTTGACATCCATATTTCTTCACTTGCTCTATGCTAACTGTCTTGTTCTGGTCCTGAGGTCCTGGGGCTGGCTGCTGACGGCTTGGTCCTGTGGCTCTTCTTCGTTTTGGAACTGGCTGATGCCCAATCTCATCATTTTCTTCAGAGTCACTGTCAGACTCTGAATTTTCAGAAATATGATCTTCAAATTCTGAAACCTCTTCTTCTGAATCCTCTCCCTCTACATCAGCCAACGGCAAGTAAGTATGGTCTCGGGTCGAAATTTTTCCAAGCAACTGACTGGTGGGTGAACATAATTTTTTTCGATTTTTCCTTGTTTTCCTTACCTACAGACTACTGGATTGAGCTCGTTGCAAAAATCATGAAAAAAAAAAGAAAGCAAAAGCAAAAAAACTTTTGAATCAGTGAATGGTCTGCTGTGCCGGGTGAGAACCCATACTGCTTTCAGGGACGCACATGTCACTTTTTGTTGAGGTGTGAGGCCTCGTACCATGACCTTGGTACTGCCTTCACACCTTAACAAATGTTAATTGTTATATTTATTTTTAATAAAAACTGATTATTAACCTGATATTTTTTGAATTCACACATTGCAACATATTGACACATCGCTGTGTGCATCTTCGGAGTATATTATATACCAGTGTTGTGCGGGAAGAGAAAAAAAAGCCGGGAGAATCGGGAACGGGGAGAGTTCCCGAAAATGGCCGCCGCTCGAAAATGGTCGGGGACTCGGGGACGGAGAGTTTCAGTGAGAAAACTCAGTCTCATCCCCGTCTTCGACTAACCGAAACTCCCCGAAGATGTAACTTTAGAACTAGAGTCAGCAGGACCTTGAAAACATTATTTTTCGATGGAAAAGCGTTGAAATAAGTGATCTTTAGGCTGGAAAAGCGATAACTGCGAAGGCGTAATGCAATTCTATCTACAGTGTTTTATTCGATCACATGAGAAAATAGAGTATAATAGCAAAATTTCTTTGACAAAAGCAAAAGAGGATACACGCTCTACTACTGCAGTTTTGTACTACACTCACCTATGCGGACATATTACATGTCACTATGCAGATCTCAAAATATTCTTAATCTTTGAAGGAATTAACACACGAATTCATGAACTCAAAATTTTGTTGAATTTCGTTGCTCTTAGTTCTCAATAGAAAATGTGATTTTCTCCATTAGTCTACATGGAAATGCATCCAGATGAGCGTGACATAAACTAATGAAGAGCAGAATAATCAGTTGATTGTGCAATGAAATGCTGTGCAAAAGTTCATCAAGCTGTCGTTGATCATGCCATTCGTCTGACTTGCATCAATTTCCTTGACTATTCATCAATGATAGGTGGCAAACAACAAAGATGACTGCATATGAATGAGGTCGTAATGATTAAGGCTTGCTTCAAGATGGACGTACTATCAAAATTAATACAAACTCACCTGCTTTATGAAATCCAGAGATCCCAGGATTTTTCAATAATTAAATCCCGGGTCGGGACCAGAATTGAAATTCCGGGGGCAAATCATCTTATTCCAAAATTTTTGAAATAAGATGATTTACCCTTGTAAACCCTAGCTAAGATAGGATGGTAGTGGAGCCTTAAAGGCAAACATGCGAGCAATGATTGAATATTCAACTTCGAATTCATTACATCTTCCTCTTTTACCTGTGTAATTCGCTCTTGATTGTTTTTAAATTGTGACTTATTGTTGAAATTATGTATCTGATTAGAAAAGATGGCGATTGAAATTTTTGCTTGATCGCAGCAATCTAACTATCGCTATGAAAAGAATTAAATGACGGCGTGAGATCATCAAAAAACGCAACTTCACAATAAAATATCTTCATAAACGCATCAAATTGTTTTGTTGCACAAAAATTTCCTGCTCTGGCTTAATTATTTTATTTGAAATGAATCTGGATTTGAAAGAAAATTTCAAAAAATCGTTTCGAATCATTTCAATCACTAAAACTCATTTAAATCATTACGAAATGTTATGTTGCTGTTTTTAAAAAAGGCGTTTAATTTTGAGTTGAAGTCTTTCTTGACAAATAATAGAGGAGTTTAGTTGTTTCCGTTTCTCAGCATTGATATCATTTTCGCTCAATTTGGTTATCAGTTTCACTGATAAGTTATGATCCTATTTTAGAACAAACGAATCTCAATCACCAGTGTTGTACTTCAATTGCACTTACCTAATGTTGTTTTAAGAACGTACGCTTTTCAATTAATCCATTGCGCTTCTTTTCAGCCTTCTCCAATTCGTGGAGTTTTTTTGATGTTAGTTTGATCATCGATGTTAATTTAAATTTAAAAGTGCAGTTGTTAATAACGTATCGCAATAGTATCAGGTGACAATTAACGATGCTTTTTCAAGTCGTTTTTCTCAGAATTCTTCTCAGCTGTTCGCCTTCTATTCGTTTTGCGCTCATTTTCATCTTCGATCACTTCAAATCTTCAGCACTTTTTCTCCCTACGATTGATCAATCGATATCTCATAGCTTGTTTCGAACTTTATTCTATTCAATTCTAGGAAAAAAATTAACTCAAATTTTGATCACATTTACATATTTGAGCTGTTTGTTTTTAGTTTACAATTCATTGAATCAACACAACTGTATATGTAAATCTGAAGAAGAATGTATCGCATATAACTTTTTTCAGTTTGCCTTCTTCCTTCCTCTCCTGTAAAAATATTGCTTCTTTACGCTATAAAACAAATACAAAAGTACGGATGAATAATATGACGAAGGTATATTTTCAGATAGTCGATTACTGCGGCTGCTTTACTTATTCGAATACTCTCGTGATGTTCAATTTACAGCAATAACATCACTTAGCTATTATAGTCATAGTTATAACCAACAACTAGTGTTTATACAGCTTTCTGCCGTTGTCGTTGTTAAGACGGTGTAATATTCGTATTTGAGAAACGGGACATACATATACACATATATAAGAGACGTGTACAACACACACACATACACACACACACATATGCATTGAGATACATAAATGAATGCGCGAACGAAACAAGAAATAGATGAAAGTCGCATACGCGGCCTAGTTGTGCGCCGAGCGGCTCGCCGTGCCGGGGCATCGTCTGTTCGATCAGCTGTTTTGGGTGGTGGTTGAGTGAGGCGAGTAGATGAGAGGAGCAAAAGGTATATATATATAGCTAGTGCGAATTCGAAGAATCAGCTCGGTTCAAGGAATATCCAGTCCATCAATCCATCCGTCCATCTGAGTTGTTATTCGTTGTGTGTCAGCAATTGGATTGAACGTATTTTGCTACATTAGCGCATTGCTAATATTCTCACTGTTTTGAGACAGAGGTTCAACAAATGTTGTGTGTGAACAACATTGGTATTTCACTACTTATTTAGAAAGAATTACTTTAAATCCTATAGCCTACTTACAATATAACCTTTTTACTAATTTGTTATTTATCGACAAGTCCCCAAATAAATCCGTCCAAAAAGAATGCCATTTATTGGTAAAGACTGGCGTGATCCCGGTGAAGCATGGATTCGTTGTGCGCATACAGCCGGCTGGGAAAAGATGAAATTACGACCCATTCAAGTATGTCATGTTTCTTGCGTGCTCATTAATCTAAAATGCCCCATTTCTCATCTTATTTTTCCATTGTTTCCTTCATCTTGAATGAAATGTTTCGAACTGACGCAAATCCGTTTCATCTGCATAAGCACTGAAAAGATTTTACAAAATCGGAACAAAGTTTTTCAGCTTTCATGCAAAACTTCGTCAGTTGAGAAATTATGTGATGCACTTTCAATTGCGTTTGTGATCTGACATTATAAATTTCACAAAATGGCATTGTCCAGCTGTTTCGATCGTATAACTCTAGTATAGAGAAAATGTAAGCAATATTTGCAATTATGTGCACATATGCGAATTATGAAGCGTACTCATCGCTCGCTGTTCACTCCTGTTTTATCATAGAATGGATTCAAATTAATCGTTGTCATTATTTACTAAATGGCAAAGGGCACCACACCATGTTTTTTTTTGACAGTAATCAGGTTACTTTCTAAAAGGAGATTTTTGGAATCATCCACTATCAACAACTCCAATAATTTACTATTGCGACTATCACAACAAAAAGTTTGAATCATTTTCGCAATCAGAGGGCCATCTTGTGCTAAATGTGTGATTTTGTTTTTTGATCCCTGTTGATTCACGTGTTTCCAATGCACCTCCAGCAAAAACTGATTGACCTGCCTATATCTTTATAGCTGATGTGTGTAATTCTCTGTCAGTTTTATTATCAACTGTTATTACACATTATTCACAGGTTAACCATATGTCTTGGGTATCTTTTACTGATTAGCATTAATTTTTGGAGTGATGAATAGCCTCGCATCATCTGTTTAGATGTCATTGTTCATTCCTCTTTTCATCTTATAAATCATATGAAATCCTCTAAACTTCATGAAAGAACACCTAACAACAAACATCAAAAACCATCATTTATTGAAGAAATCTCAGTGATCAGCCTAGAAACGTGATCACTTCAAATGCTCAATAACCAATTTCGCCGAAGTTTTAGATGAGCGCTGTAGATGTCTCCTCATTAGGTATATCATCACCACAACGATCAAGATGTTCATCACCGATACAGATTGAAAGAGTCAATTCAGCAAATTCATTATCAAGTAGTGATGAAAATGGATTCTCACGTAGCGATAATCAGAATTCAGGTACTGCAGTTGTCGATTGATTAGATATTGCCTTCAAGAGATGATTACGACGAAAACAGAAAATGACATTTGAATAATGTTTCAGTTTGGTTGTATGTGCATGTAAGTTTGAAAATACTACAGAAGATAAGCAACAAACAATGTGAGCTGCCGCTTAAATTCGAAATCATGAATGAGCATCAAAAAGAGCGATTTTGAATGATGGAGATTAAGTTCAGTAGAAACTAGGATATTGTTTCAGTTCCATGAATTTTTTTACATTTTAGGCTCGGAAAGTGAGGATTGGATTCCGCATTGTTATATAAAGATGGGCAAGTCAAAAGAAGTTAGTGTTTTCCATATGAGTTACTTGTCATTGGAATCAAGAAAAAGTTTTGTTGTTGCTATTGATTGATTTGATTATTTGTTTAGTTCATTGGCTGTACAAGCATGAGCGAAGCATTTCACAGACTCAACTTGGCGCGTGCAGTGAGAGATATTCGCAAATTCAATTACGTTTCCAAAGTAAAATCTCTTAGTATTTATATTTCATTTCATTTCATTCTCTATGGTTGAGGAAATTTTTGTTTCTGTTAACCGTCGTAAATTTTGTTCTATTTCTAAAATACTTTTTTTCAATCCGTGCTAGAGATAGCTGCAATTGTTAAGCAGCAATGCCTGCGAAATACTGTGCACAGATTTAATGATTAGGCGTGAATTTCAGGTAGTACAAATTCTTGTACGGGATAAGTTACATAATTTAAGCGCAACAGCGCGAAAGAATCTTCTTGCAATAATTCAAGCCATGGTGCTTCTCAGTGAGTGTGGCTAATTTCTCTTCACTTCAAGTGTTATTCTGATTTGTTTCAATTCGATATCGCATAACACATTTTCATTCGTTATCTTGAATCATGTTTACGTTCAAACAGTTCAAATGCCAGAACTATCTGAAATGAAATGCCAATTTGAAATGATCCTTACTGAATTGATAATGGTAATGAAGAAATATTAACTGAATGCAAGGATAGGAGTGAAGAATTGAAATTTTTGTAGGTGTTGAAAAAGATGTGCATATATCAACGGCACGTTCACTAGTTCAGGATTTCGCATCGGGTCTGAATAACGGTATGGAAGGCCGTCTTTGTGGGTCACCAAAGTTAATCACTAGACAGATCGGTACTGCTAGTGACTTACTTGAGGTGATCTCTGAACGTAAATTGCATACGTTAGCAGAGAGTGAAGAGGGCTCTACGACCTTTATGGATCTACCTCGTGAACTTCTTTCTATTATCCTCAGGTTGTCTACTTTAATCGTTAATCGTTACTGGTATTATAAGACTGTTTAGTTACAACTGTGATTACGTTCAGTTTTCTGAACCACAGACAAGTTGGTGGGTGGATCAGTGACGGATGTGTGAGTACACGTGGTTGCATTTTGGAAGGCATGTGCAGTAATTAGTAGTGCACTTGTGTGGTCCACATTAATCATTCTCACAATAAACGTAAACTTATGATGACAATTGTTGAGGTGTCTGTACGGAATTCGTAAGTTTCAAATAGTTTCCAAGTGAATCGAGCATAACGAACATATTTAATGGTTCTTGGTGAAATTGAACGTATCGATGTGACTTTGTATCGCCGTTTTTGCAGGAAATTACCGGATCATGTATCGTTATTAGAAGTAGCTGAAGTACATGAAACACTCAACGCAATTGTACAAAACGAGAGTAAAGTTTGGTCGACGTTGTGTCAGTTTCACTTCTCGCAGGAACTTATCGATAAGCATTTTGCGAATTCGAACGGATCTTGGCGACATACTTTCTTTGAACTGAAAAAATATTATGGCTTACGTGTTGCATATGCGGATTTGATTCATTTGTGCTGTCATTGTAGAGCGATGTTTTGGAAGGTGTGTTACACATACATTTTTTCTGTTTAGTCTTGAATGTTTCCATTTAATTTAACGTTCCACTTTTCATGGTATCACCAAAACTGGTCTGCTGATTAATTATATATATATATATATATATATATATATATATATATAATTAATCAGCAGACCAGTTTTGGTGATACCATGAAAAGTGGAACGTTAAATTAAA